AGATCTGGAGGAGACGCTGCAGCCCTACTACGACTGGTATTGGTCCCTGTAAAAGAAAGCAGAGCAGGACCCAGGAACAATTCATACCAGCATGAAGGAAAGGCAAAACCAAGGTATTTTGATACAGGTGTAGTTGTCTCTGCTGCCCGGGGGTAGATACAGGCAGAAAGACAGAGAACCCAGAGCCAGTGTGCTGGTCATGGTAGATCCAGTACCTTCACAGCCCCCTTATGGGCCAGCTCCCCTGCCCCATTGCCACTTCAGAGGCTGCTGCTGGCAGATGACCTGAGCTGAGAGCAAGGAAGGACAGGGGACTGCCGGGCATTGACCTCCAGTGAGACTAGGAAGGCTAGAGACTTTCTGCCTACAATAGCAGAAGCATGTGGAACAGATGCTGCAAGCATCCCTGCCCTGGAGTAACCAGGCAGCAGGGACACAGGCGTCCACCCTCCTCCCAGTACAAGGTCAGGCTAGCAGGAGACAGATCAGATTTAAAAACCCAAAGAAAGGTTAAATTTGGCTAGCAGGAAGCAGGGCAGGCTTTAAAACCCAAAGAAAGGTTAAATGCCCAAGCTGCTGTGTAGTGCTTGCAAAGGGGATGCTGGAAGATGTTTTGATAAGTATTTGCTGTGTAAGGCTTTATCTGAAGGCCACACGCACACACACGTGCTCACCACCTTGCTGGGGATTGTCCTTTAACTGGGGTTATTTTTCCCCATGCGACCCAGAGCAGAAGTACACCACAGTGTCATTAATCTTTGTGCTGCATTGACCCAAACAACCCGTGTTACCCTGCAGCTGCTTCCTGCCCTAGCCTGCCAGGTAGCACGGCCGCACTCTGCTCCATCAGCAGGATGGGCTCCAGCACCACCTCCAGCCCTCACACCGCAGCTCAGCCCTGGGATGGCAGGAGCACAAGCCCAGAGCCAGCTGCTCCCATCTCACACCCACCCAGCCCCCAGCAGCATGATGCCCTGGTCAAACCCACACATCCAGCACCAGCCCTTGGAGACCAAGACCTTGCATGGTCTGGGGTTGTGCTGTCAAACCCCAGCGGCAGGAATTTTGGATCGAAAAGAGACTCTGCTTCAAAGAGCAGTTATTTCTTACAGCTGAAAGTGGTGACCTTGACATATGTTAGGCAGCAAACAAATCCACAAACTTCCATTGTGAAGAATTGGGAGATTTTACTAGGCTATCACTTGCAAGGTAAACCACCCATGAGGTTTTTTTTTTTTTTTGAACAATGAAGTTTCACATGGTTTTCCACAAAGTTCTCCTGAAACCAACCTGATTTCTTCTCTTCCCTACCAGTATCACCCATAAAAACCTCCAAAAAGCCAGCTGGCACACACAGGTGGGCCTAGGTCAGCCCAGGCTTTTACCACTGATGCTGCCAAGGACAACTGAAGCCTGAAGAGCAGCCAGCTGGGTTTCTGCAGCACTGACTCCCCACTGCCAAATCCAGACTGAACAAAGCAGCAAGTACAACTTTCAGTGCTAATATATGAAATCTGGGTGGCTCTTCTGCAGCACAGGCCACTGAGCAGACAAGACATGGACCTAGAAGCAGCACCTCCCAGCACTTGCCCAACCCTCCCTGGCCAGCAGCTGAGTGCTAACAGACCTCAAGCCCCTCGCTGCAGGTTTGGAGCCTGGCTGTGCACCAGACCTGCTGGTACCTCCATGGCATCATTCCATCTGATATTTGGACAACATTAAATCCAAGCAGACAATCCTCACAGCTGGAACTAGATCCCAGGGCAAAGACCAGAGGGAGGTTGTCACACCTTGCTGGGCAACTGCACAGCCATTGGATGTCCCTGGCTGCTGAGAAGAGGGACAACAAACATGTACAAGATAAACAGCTCTTCAGAGAACAAGGAAAGTCCCCCCCCACAAGGTTATCTGCTCAGCAGCAACCTCATCCTCATGAGCTTTATGTTCCATGAGTTGAGGACAGGAGCATCCCCTTAGTTGGTGACAAACAGGACCCCACAGGTAAGCAGCCTGTCAGAAGTTTCTGCAGTGAGAGGAAAAATGCCCAAGGAGACAGACTGTATGTTTCTCCCTCAGCTTATTTTCCAGCAAGGACAGACCTGCTCTCAACTGGGTGAAGCTGACAGAGGTTATCAGGAGACAGAGCAGCTGTTTTTATCCTGCAGCTCATTTTGCCACCCTGTGGCCCATCACCACCAGCACAAGCCAGGGGCTTTAAGGCAGCACACCCACAGCTGAACAGGTATGTTCACCCCAACTGTGCTTGCGAGCATAGAGATTTGAAGTAGCAGCAGAATCACACAGCCTGAAGTGTGAGCCAAGACAAACCCAGCTTCCTAAACCCATAGCTTCAAGGCCCTTTCTCTTCTCTGCAACTTCTGTCACAGCAGAGGGTCATGTTATTCCCAGAAAGCCTCTCAGGGATTCCTACGCTTTCAAGCAGCCTCGCTCTGCAAGTTTCAAAGTTCATTTTTTCTCAATGTCTAACCTGAACTCCCTCAACCATGCTGTCTCGCTCCCAGCTGGCACACAGGCTAGAGCCCCTTCCTTGCCATCACCATTCACACACACATCTTGCTGCTTGCATTGCCCTTCCTCTGGGCTGAGCTCCCTCGGCTCCTTCAGCTGCTCCCTCACCTCCCTCATCCCTCTTGCTCCCAGGCTGTCCCAAGTGAAGCTGAGGCCATCCCTGGTTAGGGATGAGTAACAGTGGCTAGGGCCACACCACTCACAGCCCACCTAACACCAGGCTGGCTCCAGGTCCCTGGTGCCCAGAACCCACAGCCAAGCACTGCTCTCTTGTTTCCCAGTGCTCCCACTGGGCACAGCACCAGCCTCTGCAGAATTACACAGAATTTACTTTCACATTATTTGCCCCATGTCCTCTGCTGTAGTCCCAGCTTCCTCTACCCCAATGGCAACAAGAGGTACACATTTCACTAACCCATTAAGGAAACATTTTCCAAGGCCCAGGAGCCTCACTATATCCCTCTAGTGGCATTAGCTATTCTACATTCCTTTTCCAGATGATTTTAAAGCAATCTGCCTGCTTGTGGGAATAGCAAAAGCCTTGAGACAACAACAGATGTTTTGCCATCTCTAGTAACTTCTCAGATTAGACATTTCACAAGTAATCTAGCAATCAGGATTTGTTGCCTAAACCATACCAAAACAGATTATTTCTGGCTGCCAAAAAAAAAATACCCTTTCCTCCCCAAGATTGGGCCCAGGCACAACTCAGCTGATTGAGGCACTTTGCTGAGGCACTCGAGTGATGATTTTTTCTGAAGAAAAATTCCATCCCCAAACTACACTGCTGAGCATAGGTAATCTTACCCACTAGCAAGGTAAGAAAGAGGGGATACTACCTCCAAGAATATCCTCAAAGCCTTATGTAGAATATACCCAAAATACCAAAATCACTTCGTCTCAAATCACTTCATTCAAAGTATTTAAAGACTTCATTACTAAATGTTACCACTGCCCTACCTATCCTCCCCCCAAGTCTCCAGCAAATTGAAGATGTGGCAGAAAAGCTACTTGGGAAGAGGCTTAGAAAGGAAACCAAAGCCAAAAAAAACCCATCACTAAGATTAAACTTGCCACCGCAGGCAATAACAACAAGCCATGTCTATCATCAGTCTCATCTGAAGTGGCAAGATCAAGCATGACCGGTCAGGCTGTTACAACTTCATGTGTGTTAGCCCTGACAAGACACTCCAAAGCAAACACATTTGCCAGCCACAGGTGGCACCGAGGAAAAGCACTACAAGTTTCATAGGTGGTTGTACTCCCTGGATACAGCATGTTTCCAGCAAAGTTAAACACTGAGCAAAGACAACACATTGCAAAACCACTGGGAGTCACCCACTGGGCTCAAGGGGTCAAACTCTGGACTTCCCAAATACCTGCAGAATTACCTGCTTTGAGATGTCCACAGCCTTTGTGCCAGCAGCTTTCAGTGAGCAAACACAAGCCATTCAAGCCACTTGATATGCTGAAGAATACACAGTTAGGCAAGGAGCCAAGTTTAAGGCTCTGCAAGCATCATTTCCCCTTGTATCTCAAACTCATTGATCATGATTTTTGAATAAAAACAAGGTGAGCACATCCTGTGCTTTGCACAAGTGGTCTTCCAATTGCTGTACAGTGTATACCAGTATGAATATAAATGCCTGCAAATTTTGTTGGAATCAAAGCCCTTAACCGTATCAGAAATTACAGGGAAAACAATACAAGAAAATTGCTCTGAGGTAAGAACGCATCAAAGTCAAACACAGGCATCAGACTGCTTTAACTTTGCATCCAAACACAGTGAAGAAGTTTACAGCTTGCATAAATTCATGCCAGATAGAGCTGAACACACTCCTCTCCCATAATTTCACAGGGGGCAAATTAGGCCTCGAGTTTAAACTATCTGAGTTTGGCAAGATGAAGTTTAGCCTGCAACTCCACAGAGGTAACTGCTGATCAAGAGGCCACTTAGTCCTACACTTTGTCCAACAAGGAAATTGCACCATGCATCCTTCATAGGAAGATATCTGCACAGAAAATTTAAGCTATTGTTGTAGCAATTGAACAATAGATCTTTCCTAAAAATCTGCTAATGCATATCTAGCAATTATTTTTTGAGGTCCTACACTCAGTGTAATTTAAATAGCATTTGAAACATTCCAACAGGAATCGCATTGCACAGAAGAAGCAATTTGCTTCCCTAACATTTCTGCACACCTGCTTAGAGCCTGTGCATCTAGTGCACAAGTTTACAGTGCCAAGCCTCTACATAGGTACCTAACACTACAGAACAAAGTTCTTTGGAATGAGGGCAAGCATTTTAGTCTCTAGGCTGTAATGACTTAAGGCTTCTTGCTGCTTCATCTGCTTGGCCAGTGGAAGCCCGAAGAAGTGCCATCCACTTTCACCCTGGTTTGGAGTCGGTATCCCATCCACTCAGGGAGGCTAAAGCCCATTGCAGTTCAGACAAGTAGACTGGTGACAAGTCAGTTGTGGGTCATTCCAGGCCCTTCTGGAAGGAGGGATGCAAAGAAAGTCTTGAAAAAAACCCATGCTGTGCTCATAAATGAGGGGTTAGCCTGCTGCAGTTCTTGTAAAACTTGTCCCTCATCAGGAGATGCTTCAGATTCATCTGTTCTGCCTGCATTTTCCCCCTGCCAAAACAAAGTTCAGTTGGTAAAGGCAATCATTTCAGGTGTCAAACAGCATGTTTTGTTACCCAAATGTCACTGTCACAATATAAAAACCTTGCAAGTATCCCCAGACAACCACAAAGTCAAAAAACCCAAGCCACACACTAATACTGGTGAACTCATGCCATGTGTCCAAGACCCCTATTTAGGGCAGACATGAAGCACCAGATCAGGTGAAGTATGTATTTACAGCTCATTACCTTTCACTGACATCAGCCAGAAGTGTCAGCTTGAGACACAAGACACTGACTGCTTCTATACTCAGATCTTACCATGGAGGTCCTTGTCTAAACCCTGTGTTCAGTTACAGAACCTGCTCAGCCTGTAACAGACCACTCTCCATTACTACATCCTAAAAGATAACATGCAGCCTGAAATATTTTGTAGAACCCAAGAATCAGCGACACCAAAGGAGGACTCAGGCTGGCAATTATTCCCCCATGGAAGATAGTTTCTGACAAAAGTTTAAAGTCTTTGCTGATACATGTAATTAGTAAACTGAAAGTAAAACTTCACAGGGTTTCATGCTCATGGTTTTAAAAAAAACTAGCAAGACAATACCTGTAAGTTATTGTTCTGGTCCTGGTTTACAGCAGCTTGAGGAGGAGCATTTCCCGGGAAGGGCTGAACTGGTCTTCGCCTAAATGGAAGCCATCCAACACGGTGCCTGGGGAAGGCAATAGATTTTTATTAACGCTGCTTAAACATTACTCCCTCCTGTTACACCAACAGTTCCAGTGACATCTGGCTGCTCAGAGAGCTGCCAACAGCAAGCTCAGCATAGCATCTCATTCTGCCCTGACCCAGTCAGTGCTTTCAAAGCCCTCTGTTAGCAGCAAACCATGAGGCAGGAGGTGAAGACTGAGCATCTGCTCGCATTCAAAATAAGCGGCACAACATCCACCTGGTATCTAGCATGCTGCTAGAGGCACAGAGCCTGCTTGTTTACCATGTTACAGATGCCCCTGGGCAACTCCTTTTTTGAAAGTCTGTACCTCTACAGCACTTTCACCTTGTCACCCACAATATAAGCTGTTCAAATTACACTTTAGAATTATCAGTAGGAAAATCTAAGGAGTTTAATGAAGCAATTAGCCTTCACTCTCCAAGTCTGCATGGAGGTCGGAAG